CAAACAGCATCACACAATTTAATTGTTGCCAAACTCAGAGAGACATTAAGTCTGCTGAATTGTTTCACTGATCCAGGTGCACCCCCTCCCCCCCGCCCCACCAGTAAACCAGTAATTCTGTAAGCAGTTGTGGACTCCTGCAATTATTCACAAAATATGCTGAAAATATATTTTAGGAAATGTAATTTTGCTATATATAGATGGCAAGGTAAGGGCGAATGTGAAAGATGAATGTGTTTCCATTTTTTAGTGTTTTACACGAAGCTATTTGACCACTTTTTATTGGGTGACATATCATATGAGCACTTTGGTGTAGGCTTGGAAAAACTACAGCTTGAGGTAAGGCTGGAAATGCCATTAGAATTAAGGTGGCTAAAAATGGATGCTAGAGAGTCCAGCATGAAAGATGGCATACAGCTGTAGGTTTCAAATGGGGGAAATACATGTGAATATTTACACATAAAAGCCATTGGGGAGGGCTGAGTCTTGCCCTGAGTATCTGTGCAGGTAAGTCATTCATAAGAAGACTAATTACCTGTGCATGTACTTGGACTTGTCTAATTTAATAAGCTGCATGTGTGCATATTTTCTGTTCTTTGTGGCTAAGCAATTATGAATTTGGGTCTTTTCATATGACAGCATTGGGGGAATTCTTAATGTGATATGCATATGCATATATACATACACACATACATACACACACATACACATACATACAAAAGCCATCATACTCAATAGCTATATTGCCAGGAAGGAAAATCCCATCCTCTAAACGAGACTACTATTCCTTGAAATCCAACTCAAGGCCTGTATATTTTAGGGCAGAACAAATGACTTAACATAGTCAACTGTTTTGTTTGTGTATTTGTTTTCATTTCAAACTCAGGAATTAAGGATGCTTTTCAGTCAAGATAGTGTGCTTCCATCCATATTAAAATAAAAATGAAATTCGGTAAATTTTGAATGCAGCAGATATGATACAACATACAACATGGTTGAAAATGTCTTCCTTGCAGAAGGCTGTCCATTGCTGTGTCTACACATTTTAAAATAGATTTTAAAAATAATAAATGCTAGAAAGCAATAGGGCAGTGAATACCGCATCTCTAATCAGCACAAAAATTCCTTAGAATCATTAAAATCACTTCATTTATAAATAGATTATCTCAAATGTACTGTCCTGAACTGTATTTCTGCTATATGAAGTTAATTAGACAATCAAACTTTGAGCTTTGAATGATGGGACCTATAGTTAATGGAGGGGTATGTCAGGAAAGAAAAAAAAAAATGTGTCTTTTCTTTTATGACCAAACTACAGCTGGCATTGCATACATGACAGATGTGCATATCTGTAACCTTAAATAAACAGAAGCAGGGAGGCAACTGTTGTATATTATCTAGCAAAAGGCAGCAGCAGACACTCGCCAAAAAAAAAAAAAAAAAACTAAAAAAATACAGACAGGGACAATAGCGACAGATAGACATAACAAAATAGCAACAAAAAGGGGGAGGGGAATCAATAAAACGATACAACCTGAAATTTTCACAAATTAAAAATGCAAATATATCTTTACATATGCATCAGTATTAAAAATAATACACGCTGGAACCAACAGGAGCGGGTGTAGGAAGAGGAGGAGGAGGAGGAGGAGAAGGAGGAGGAGGAGAGGAGGAGGAGGAGGAGGAGGAGGAGGAGGAGGAGGAGGAGGAAAGAATGGAGGCGCCGCGGAGCCCTGATTATGCATGGGCTGGAGCTGCCTCCTCTAACCTGTTCTTCTCCGAGCCGGGCAGCCGGCGGTCCTCAGCCGCCCACAGAACAGGAGCCGAAACAACCGTTCCCGAAGGCTACAGCGTTTATTTTTCTCTTTTGGGGGTTTTGGCGGTTGTTTCAGGGGCTCGCCAACCGGCCCCTTTAATTAAAAGCTTCAATAAAAGGCGATCGCGCCAGGAATGCACTCGCTCCTCTTCGCGCAGGATTTGCATATTTTTTTAATGCCCTAATTTCCTTGATGTATGTAAATGTAGCCGGACGTAGAGGCAGACAGGGAGCTGACGTCAATGGACGTGACCTCGCAGCTAAACCTTGAACGTGAAGCCGGGATGGGGGAAAACACGGAGCGGCAGCCGGCGGAGCCCGCAAGCGCGGGCGGCGGCAGCGGCGACTTAGACCAGGCTCGAGGTGCCATTAGGGCCGGTACCAGCCTCAGAGGAGGACGAACCGCTGCCTTCTTTCCGCATCGCGCGGTTCACAGCCTTGCCAGCCTTCCCGCCATGCCGGCAGACTCTGGTCCTGCGCCTAGAGCCCCACCACATACACATTCTTTTGCTTTACTCAGAAGAACAACACACCCCAACAACAAACGAAAACAACAGATAGCAAACCAAACGAATCCCCAAGTGTTTTAGACCATTGCTTGGGTAGCTTATCAGGAAGAAGACTCTGACAATGGAATATGATTTAATTTTTTTTTCTTCTCTCCACAAGAAGAGGAGGGGGAGACAACAGACAACAGCAAATCACTCCTAAAACACTATAAGCTACACATGTTCTCAGTAGGGAGAGGTAAACTGCCCAGCCGACTGGTGTGGGCGTCTCGTTTTGGCATCTATTTACCTGTTCACCTCATTATGCGCGTCGGCTTCGTAACAGCAGTGCCAGGAGCGCGCGTTTTAATGTGATGGGAGTGTCATACGTGCGTGTGTGTGTGTGTGTGTGTGTGTGTGTGCGCGCGCGCGCGCGCGCTCACGTGTTGGGAGGTGCTTGTGTTGGTGAGATATGCACTGTGAGATGACATATCTTTCCAAGGCCACATCTGGGACTTATCTGCGGAGATATCTAGGCCAGTTTCTAGGCTGGGGTTCTAGTTCACCCCATTGAAAGGGGAGGCCCCAAAAAAGGCTTTCCTTGAACAGCCGGTTCATTCCTACTGCTTTGTCTGGGGAAGGAAACTCGAAGTGCGAGCTATTTCAAGACCGCTGCCTTGATGAATTTGGCCTGGTGTTTTTCACTAGGGGCTCGGCAGTCTCGGCGCTGACATAGTGGCTCTTGGAGATGCAGCTAGGAGGCCTTCGGCTCCCCTCCTTGCGCGACGTGCGCCAGCGTCAGCGTGCCCGCCCACCGGGCGGGGGCCGCTGGTAATTCCTGGTGCATACTCGCCCCCTCCCTGTGTTCGCTAGCCTCTTCCACCCACGTAGCTAAGACCTGGTCTTCTGTGTCTTCTGGTCCCTTGTTTAAAGCCGCAGGCAGTCTAGGAAGGGGCGCCAAATGCCGCGATGTTGACCTGCCCTCGGCCGCCAAGGCTGCAGTTTTCTAGTTCCACCTTGCAGCCTCAGCTTTGTTTTCTTAATGAGCTCGTGGCCACGGAGCCCCACGCCTGCTAGGGGAGTGTGTGCGTGTGCGCGAGGAACGGGTGCGCGCAGCGGGCAGGGGGCCATCCCGCCAAGGACACACATGGGTATCTGTCCTCCCGCTGCACTTGGCGGGAAAGCTGGGGGCCCGCCGGTAGGGCCTTGCGACCTCACTCTCATTACTACCTTTTCGCTTCCCCCAACCGCGGGCTGCATTTACATACGGGCTACTTGTCTGAATTTTTACAGCGCTCCCTCCCTTCTCCCCACCTTTCGGCCCCTGGTCGCACGCGCGCAAGCTGGGAACAACCGCCTCAGCGTGCAAACACTCGCTGTAGGCTTCGGCCGGCCCAGAGCGCGCAACTGGGCCCAGGGGGGGCGCACAGCAGTCAGCGGGATGGATTCCTGCACCATTTTCCCGCCACCCTCCCCCACGCCCACACCCCTGACGGCCTCCCGTTAGTGTTGCAGGAAGCCCTCCCTGAAAACCCCCACCCTTTCTGCACACTTCCATCCCCACCCTCCCACATCTCTGTCTGTCCCTGGAAAAGGAACGCGCGCGCGGGCGCGCGTGTACACACACACACACACACACACACGCTTTTTCTTCCTCCTCAAATAGATAACCCCTATGGCGCGTCGTTGGTACCTTTTGAATAGCATAGGAGTTTAGAGAATAAAAATCCTTATAATGTATTGCTTGTCTTTAGCCAAACACTTTTAACAACCACAACAAAAAGGGGGAGGAGAGGCGAAGGGGACTTGAACCAAAAGACCTTTCTTTAAAAAAAAAAAAAAGTCTGCAAGTCAAAAGGTCATTCTCCAAGTTTGTAAATAAAATTGCAAAGGGATCCCTTAAAGGAGTGGAAAGAGGAAGGAAGGTAAAAAGCCCGCAAGTTACACAAAATGCTGCATTGGAAAAACAAGACTGGGCGATTCTTAAAAAAAAAAAAAATGTGTCTTAAGAAACCAACAAGGGGAAAATTTGGGGGGAAAAAAGAAAAAATAATAATAAAAGGTAGAAAAGGCAAAAGAAGTTTCTAAAGAAATGTGTGCTTTGCATCCTACAATAGGAAAATGTAGCCATTGCCCTCCTTCAGACGAGACATTTCTAATTTGTTCCGTCTGTCAGGAGGGGACTATGAGAGGTTTGGGTGCAAATTCATTATCTCTGGCAACGCAGAACGTAGTGTGGGGACTGAAAAAGACCGTGGCAATGGATGAACAATAGGGCTTCAGTTCATCAGTAACAAAAGCAGTGGGGAAATTGGTTGAGTTTCAGAGCACGTCCTCCTCGGCAGAGGGGGCTGGACTAGACCTTGGACAGCCCCCCCAAAAACTTGCCGAGCCTCGCACACACCACTTCACTCTCCACTCCAAGGCTCAGGGAGCAAGTGCCTGGCGTGGGGGGGGGGGGGGAAAGTTGGCTTTTTATCCTTCTTGGTCTTTTGCGCCCTGCTCTCCCCAGAAGCGAAGACCTGTTTAAACTATTTTAGACGCAATCAAGCAAGGATCACTATGTGGAATTGAGCGGCAGTTTTAAATGTGTTTAGGAGAGGAATGATATGAATTGTTTTTTCTTTTCCTTTTCCTTTCTTCTTCTTCTTCTTCTTCTTTTTTTTTTTTTTTTTACTTTTTTTTTTTTTTTGGAGACGCCGAAAGGAGCCTATTGGTGTGCTGCGGCCGCGCTGTGACTGGATCTTGTCTTCTGTCTGGCGCTTCGATTTCTGTCCGGCTGGATTTGAGGGTCAACACTGCCTGGAGCAGGGAGATCAAGTGAGTATCAAGGCGGCCCTCAGGCTGCAGCTCTGCCCGCGGTGTCAGCAGTGCCCGCCGCGGCCCAGAGTCCGCACTCCTCACCTCGCCCGCTCGCCAGTGCCCGCAGAGGCCGCCCCTGGCCGCTCCGAGCGCCAGTCCGGGCCTTTGCTTCAGCTAATTGATTGTGTGCCTCTGATGCCAAACCTGTTGATCTTATGAGTTGTCTGAGCCAGGATGGTTAATTATCCACGGGTCTGACTCCCAATTGCAGAAAGATGCCAGGAACATTTCACATTGTAAAAGGGAAATTTGTACGTAATTTTGTGTGTGTGGTGATGGGTCGTTGCCCTCTTCAATCTATAGAGAATACGATTGTATTTTGCGTTCCTGGATTCCGGGTTCGCATGTTGAATAATTCGCCTCCTTTTAACGCCCCAAAGTTACAATTACCCGGCAGTGAAGCGAGGGTCTGATTTCGATCCTGTTGGAAAACTTGAGTACAGTAGCTAATTCGATATTACGGCTTTCCTCTTCCTTTTTCTTTTTGCCTTTTGGATTTGGGGAGGCGAAAGGCCGCTTTACAGGGTTATCCCAAGTTCAGCTTCATCAAGATGCAACCTTCGTGGTTAGTTATTGGGACTTGGAGCGGTTCCTTCTTGACGCTTCTGGCATCCTAGCGAAGCAAGGTCTTAGCGGTTTGCCCAGGGCCCAGATCCAGCTGGGGAAGGCAAGATCTCCTTCCTGTGGCCTGGAATTGTCTGCGGAAACCCAGGGCGCTGGGAACCTGAGCAATGTGTTTGCATTAGAGTCTGCGGGCGTTTTCTCTTGCAAATGTACCCGCAGTGCTTGAATGGGGGACTGTCTCGAGGGGTCAGGGCAGCGGTGGAATTGATCAGAAGTTAGACCGGAGGCCCTGTCAAGTCACGGCCACGGCCGGGGGGCCTCTTTGGAGCTCTGGCTGTCTTGGGTCCAGAACTACGGGGTCGGATTCAGTTTCCTCCCACTCCTGGTGCCACATTTACCTGCCACCCTCCTTCTCCACCTTGGCACCAGTAATTAGGGCTCTGTTTCAGGAATGAGCTACTAGAGTCAACATCATTGAACTAGTGCAGTACTTTCATTTTGCAAAACCAATAGCCCCACCCCACCAATCCAGACTACAATAAGCATTTAAAAAATAATAAAAGCAACCTATATTCAAGCGTGTAAGACTTCCTGAATATTGGATCTTGGGGGGATGGGAGAAGGGAATTTTAAAAATCCACCACTTTACAGCAATCGGGTTTTACATTATTCATTGATTTACTGAAGGAAAGAGCCAATCAGGAACCTAGATATGAATGCACATCTCACTGTTCTGTGGCTTTACAGTAAACTATTTGCATCTTTCTAATGGATTAGACATTTATCCAGGGATTCCTATTGTTTGAAAGGCCTGGAATTCAATCCCTCAAACATTTAGAAAATAAGATTGTAGTCTAGTATTAAAATCTTTACATAGAAGGACTCTCTCTCCTTTTTTGTGTGGCAGATTGCAAGGTTCAAATCCTTCATGTTTCTTAAGTCTCTCTTCCAAGTTAAAAAATAAAAGGAGAAAGAAAAAATTAATTTCCTAAACCCCTCCAGATTCTGCATATTTTGCATTCCCATTATCATGCATGTCTCTATTTAAATGCAAATTAGCATATTTAACCCTGTGGATGCTGAGGCCCTGGTTACACTGTACTGGGATTTTATGGACTCTCTTGGCATTTTAAGGATTCATGGTAATTGCAATTCTTTAAATGAAGCCATATCTAGAAATGATTATATATATGTATATGTATACGTATTTGTATGTGTATATACATATATATAAACTGTGATCATTTGTTTTCTTGACTGTTTTTCAGATGAGACTGCAAAGAAGCATAAAATGAATAGACTATCTAACCAACCAAAGGTAATTCTAAAATTTACATTCCAGAAAATGAAAGTGATGTACAAAATCAAAACAGAATATAATTTACTGATGTCAGGCCTGCAGTGTATTGCATATCTCCCAATGAAATAGATAGAATTCCAGAAAATCTAAGTTTCCGTATGTTCAGTTCTTTCCCCTGTAAGGAGCCTTTGTATATAATATATCAAATATATCAAGCTTAACACTAGCATAATCTGTAACTGCCTATAAAGAGAAATTTGGGTTACAGAAGAAATAATATAGTACTTTTATTAGAAAGTAAGGCAGTCAGAAACCTTATGTGAACTACACAAGTGGGTGTAAATTAAATGACTTTATAAAAAAATGGTAGTCTTGGCTGTGTTAGGGGACTGTGGGTTACATACATAAGAATCATACAAACCAAGTATTTTAAAGGGATTTGGTGGTAGGCCACTACTTTATGTACTATGCAGTAGTATGAATAGATATTCTATTAAATATCAGAGATGTTCTAATATTGGTGGCCAACTGATGTATCTGAATTTATGGAATAGCATAATTCTGATCCAGATACATGCAAAATCATAACTTTTTAGTTTAAACTTAAGCAGAGATTGTTTATTCCCAAGTAAAACAGGATGTTTCAATTCATGTTTCAGCCATCTGGAGATCTATAAAAAGATTAGAAAACAAGCATGACAATCACGTCCTAATCTACTAGCTATTAATGGGAATTTATTAGAGAATGAATAGGCAAGCCATTTGAATTCAGTATATCCTTCAATATGTAGATTTCAAAATGAGTATTCTGTACTCAATAGCTCTTTGAAAACAAAAATGTCTGATTTAAAAACATGAAGGTGTTAACAGTTGCTCTCAACAACATGTGACAGACATTGCTAGGAATCTTTAGAGTGCACATTGTTTTAAGTTGTTTCCCATTCTATAATCATCCAGCCTTTAAAATACATATGGTAAACCATGGCATAAACATTGACAAAATTGAAAAAATCAAGTGCTCAATGTTAAGCCCTTCTGTGTATTTTGTTTTACTTCTCCCTACCATGAGAAATAATGTAAAGGTAAAATATTTAACTGGTTATATGGCTAGTGAACAGGCTGTCTATAATCTTGATGTTGGTTCATTTCACTTATTGAACCTCCCATAATGGATCTATGGTATGTGTACCAGGATTGGAGGCCAGTGCTGGAGGAAGTTGATTTGACTATGTGATGTTGCCCTCGAAGATGCTATTTAAGGCAGTATCTTCTGTAACTTCTAATCGTAGAAGAATGTGAAATGTTGTGTTTTGGCACAACTATTAGTACTTAGGTTCTAAAAATGAATTTAATTGTCAAGTGTTGCAATATAGCCATAATAATTTGCAAATTCACACAAACATGGAGTTAACATGCACACACACACATACAGACATGCATGCATCATATGCTTCTACTTCCATCAGCCCCCACCAAGGTTTACTTAAAGCAAAAAGATAATATAAAATTAGCTGGAATTTATTGGGGTTTGACTTAAGGAATTGAACACACTTGATCACATGCTTGCTTTATGTAATACATGCCAAATCACTAATGATTTCACTTCTGGATCTTGGAATGCAAGGCCACAATACTCTTCAATATTCCAAGGCTTCAAAGCTCATTAGGGTTTTACATAATGTCAAAAGAGGTTTGTTCCTCAGTGATATGTTAACTTTTTATTCAGTAGTGTATGTTGTAACCAAGTAATTTGAGATGAAATGGCCATTCCAGGATTGTGTTTCTCTGAATTATTTTGTAGTTTGCACATGTGCTTTATATATAACCTAATGCAGCCATTTCTGGTCTTACCTCTTGATCCATAATTTGATAATATACATGAGCAATGTCCACAGCTTAGTGTTTTCTAAATAATCAACACTAGAATACTCACCATAAAAGTAAATAAATAAAAATATAAGGAAAGTTGGCATCTGTGTTATTAAATCATATCTTTAATTGGTGTGATATTATTGTTTAAACTCTTCATTGGGTGCTTTTCCTAACAATTCTGGTCTTCTCTTCAGTCTTTTCTACAGGTGTACACATGTGTTCTCTGTATGTAATTGGATAAGCACCTTCACACTCTAGTCTTAAATGAATAGATTACTGAATTAATGAAGGAGTCAATGTTAACTCTGAAAATGTTTGAATTATTGGGGAAAATAGTCAACCTATAGAAATGAGGGCATTGTGATAAGCTAGTGATATGTGCAATGTGTATTAAGATTCATTACATTCTTGTAGCATATGTTTTAAGAATGGTAACAACACCAAACTTAACTTGAATTCTGAAAAACAGTCCATAAAGTTCACCCATGATAAATATGCCTCTTATGTAGACTACTTTGGATGTTTTATTAATTGATATCTGAATATTAGAACTATAGTTCTGTACATATACTAATATACATATTATAGATGTGCTAGACATAGATGACCCATTAGGAAGGAAAGAGAAGAAAAGAATTCCATGAAGTGATCATATTCACACTTTGGAAAGTTCTAAGAAAAGGAATGAGGCTAATTAATTCCCCTCTAGGTAGGAGAAAGGTGGGAGTGAAGAAAGAGAAGGTGAGGGTATAATTATGCTATTAACATCCAGGTGTTTTATCTGTATTTTCCAAGAGGGAACAATACTTTTTTCATAGTTTCAAAAGCAAAAGCAAAACTAATGCATTTGTCCTTCTGTATGAGAATTGATGCTTAAAACAATAGACAAAGGTTGAGTATTTTTATTACAGCAGAGCTATGTGCAACATTAGAAACTATTGTTGCAATATTTACCTGTGCTGCCTTTTAGCACACATACCCTATTTATGCAGTCATTTTCTAAAAACCAGGATGAAGTCCACCTGCTTAGAGCAATTCAGTTTGAACTTATAGAACAAAATACCATGCCCTATCGCCATGGTACACAGATACAAAACATGACTGAGCTGTGAAGCCATTAAAAACACAACACCAGAGCAAATTGTCAATGTAATCACACATCGACTCACTGCGTAATACTGATCTGATTCCCAGCCCCAGAAAGCGAGGCCCTTCTTTAAGCAATAGCAAAGTGCCTTCCATCTGTCTGCCTATGCAATCTGCCAGAAGAGAAATGCAGGCAAAGACGTTCCCCAGACCTGAAATGCTTTTATCTGTCCTTAGAGAGAGATTTCTTCCAGTCTTTGGATATTAGAACGATCTACACTAGCACCGAGGAGGTAAAAGGCCGCGGGTTGCTTTTCCAGGAGCAGTCGGTAGTGCTAGCAGAAGAAATGTTGATTGAGAAAATAGGGCTTGTTGCAATGCTGCTGCTGCTGCTGCTGCTGCCGCCGCCACCGCCGCCGCCGCCGCTGCCACTACTCTGGCAGCAGGCGTGGGGCAGTTGGCTGATCACTGATGCATATCAATAACCATGTACTTGAGATTTCTCATGACATCATCATTACCTTGGTCTCCCGCGGTCTCGAACCTTTGACCTTGCCGGGCTGGTCAACGATTTGGCAATGAAAGCCCCTCCAATGATGGCCCTTTTCTCCTTCTTTCAGACCGGGGGCAGCAGCACACCAGCAAGACGGCATCTTCTCCTCCCCAGCCTAGAAGCCCTGTGAAATCGAGGATCTTCCCCCTAAAACACTAACATACAAGATATGTGCAATCAAGCTGCCACCGCTTGGTAAAAACTCACGATGCCTAACCCAAAAGGATCGGGAGCAGATCCTTGAATCAGCTGTCACTTCTATAGAATGGGATTTTTTTTCCTTCCTCCTTAACCTGCGCTGGAAATTGCCGTTGGCTTTATACATCTCTATAGAGGAAGGCCAAAGAGTCTTGCGTGAGAATGAAGCGATTTACAATGCAAATAGAGGCCTGTGAAGGGATGGATGCCGCTGCTCACTCCCAACAGCTTGCTGCGCCTTAATAGCTGGTTTTATTTTCTGTTATTAATTGATGAATTGTTTGCTGACGCTGCCGGAGATTACTTGCTGGAAGGGGAAAAAAGTTCGGAATAAACTCTGAAGGCAACAGATCTTATTTGGATGTTTTAGCCGCACATACACAAACTGAAACCAGGTCATATTTACATCAAAGGAGGAATCTTGGGCACGGCAAGTATCCTGGACGACTACCCTTCAGTACTGCCGGAGAGAACCGGGATCTGGAGTCTGGCGAGAGGAAGACAGAGGCATGTGAGGGAAGCGAGTTGTTATCTTTGGTTATCTAGCTGTATGAGTGTATTGGTCTTCATAAAGCTAGATAACCGAAAGTAAAAACTCCTTCAAGATCGCCGGGGAGCGTGTGAGATGAAAGACTACAACCAAGAGACAGTAAAAACCAGAAAGGTCAGGAATACTTATTGAATCTAACTTTGTTTTTGTTTTTGTTTTTCCTTATCATGAAAGGTGGGATGAGAGGAAATTGACACATATATGCTGAGATACTAACGTGTCAGGTTTTGAAAGGGGTTGTTACAGCTGCAAAGGAGAATTGTATAGTACTAATGAGTAAAGATGCGTGTACACTTTGTTCTATTTAAGGCGAAAGTTTATATAAGAGGAACTTTTTTCTTAGAAAGAGATCGTAGAGATGTCTGAGACCTAGTTTAAAAATGATTCCATAATTATGTAGACTTGGGCAGTTCCCTTCTGAGGCTCCTCCCCCCAAAATTTGAAGATTGTGCTTGGAAACTACTTTAAATGTATTTGGGCTGTATGTCAAATTCTATAAAATTAGACTTTAAGACAAGTTTATACTGAGAGGTTAATAATTTATATCTATTGAAGACTTAGAACTAGCCGGGAAAAATGAAGAAAAACAAAAACAAAGGCTGATTTTTATTCTTCTATTCAAAATACAAGGACAGATGCTTCTCTGTTCCAAGAGGGTTTCCTTGAGGAAGCTACTGAAGCAGAAAGACATGATGGAGACGAGATCGCCTCCCCTCTTGTCAAAGTGTTAAAAAAATATTCTGTCTTACTCTGAGCCTAGCATTGGAAATGAAAGTGACATTTACGCCACAACCCACGTGTGCGCCTCCTCTCTTTTTGTTTAAGGATGATCAGGTCTATCCAGGAAACAGCTCTGGCATCCCAAACTGAAATAATTAGGACGTATATAGACCTGACAAAAATGGAAAGGGGGTGGGGAATCTGAGGGTCTGTCCTGCCTAATTGATTCCGCTAAACGGAATGCAGGAGATGTGAACGGCAGGACGCTCCGATTCCCACGCTCGGGGGCAAGTGGTAAAGCGGGCCGGCAGCCTATGACAGACAGCCCTGTTGGGGGGTAGGGGTATGAAAAAAACATCAAGTGCACACACCATACTCATCTCCATCGCTTAAGAAAGTAAAGGCATTTCCCACCCACAGCCATCTGCAGCCTCCCAAATGGCAACGCCAACTGGTCTGTAGCTGCTGCATACTGTCTGTTTCTGTTAATTTTTAACCGCTGTTTAATTTGGCCCTGATCAAGTTTGGCTTTCTTTTTTGGTTGAGATTTTCAGTATTTAAGGAAAGCTAGTGGAAAGTGATTTCAAGAAAGTCTCATTACTGCCTGTCCCTCCTGTGAAATCCTCAGTCTCTACTTACGGCCTTGTGACCACCTTTTGGCTTTTGTTTTGGCTGGGTTGTATTTTTTTTTTTTTTTTTACTATATGTCTCTACGTAACAGTCATTATTATGGCTTCACCAGGTTGTTTACCTCTTAAGATGACACACCTAGGAATTTGGCCTGATTGTGCTAATTAAATACACATTGAAAGTCAAACCAAGAAGTCATCAGCCTATAGAAAAGTTGATTACAATAACAATGTGATAAAAGGTTGTTTTGGAATAATCCCAGGTAGATGCATTCTAACCAGGCATTTTAAATCTTAATTTAAAAATAACTATTCTTAGCTTTATAAACTTTGTGGATTTTAAAAGTCCTCATTGTGGTCTTTTCATTAAATTTCTTACATTTTGCCACATGTCACCAAGCGAACATTTGTGTAGGCATTTACACATAAACACAACCATTACAATAAGATGCCCAAAATAGCCTGTTATCTTCCACGTGACCTAGATTACTGACACTTTTAAATATATAATTTTTCTTCAAAGGCAGTACATTTTCCTTTGTAGCTTCAATTCCATGTAGGACTTCATACTGTAAAACCACTGTTAGTTTCCTTTAGAAACTCTGAGAGACTTTAATAACATAAATTCTCAATTTGGCTGCTGAACACGTGCCAGAGTTTTACTACCATAGTGACCGTTGAGAAGACCCTTGTTTATTTACATCTGAAGCACTGTTTGTGCAAACAACCTTTCATTGTTAAGTGCCTGTATTCCTTTCATTTACTTCATGTCCAGGGGTGCTATTTACCTAGAACCATTGTCTACTACAATTAACATTTACATTACAAAGTGTGTGGTTTTCTTTCTCAAGGAGGTTCAATTAAGGCAATAAGATGTTTGCGGGGAAACCTATTGTTTACTGAAAGCACTCAATGGAGTCAAATTACTGACGCTTTTGCCTACATCTTGGTCTTTTATGTAAATATGTTAAATATAACATCTAAGGAAAATAAACAATATTATAATTATGTGTTTGCCATTGTCATATCAAACTTGCTTTGTATCATACTAATGTTACATAACTTATCGATCAATAAAAATACATTTCAATGTTATTTTCATTTTATTTTTTGCTGTTCCACTGCTCTTGCTGCAACATGTCCCAATTTTTCTTTTTTCTATTACACATCAAACTTCTGACATTTTGTTTTATTTGTGTGTGTTGAAGAGAGGTACTGTATCTGAGCATGGGTCTGAAGGATGTCTGAGATAATCTCTACAATGACCTTATAATAAGGTGATATTTCTTTGAAATCTGAAATATTCCAAAGGCATGTACATTTAAGTCAAAAGAAGTGTAAATATCAGTTAAGTAGTTCTTTGAAAGCTAGTTTTAACATTGGCAGAAACCGGATCAAGTTTATTTAGCATACCACTGCATTGTAAAACAGTTGGAGTGAAGTTGCAGGTTGCGTGAGTATGCATGTTAACTAGTGGGAACCAAGCATAGTCTTTGTGAAAGGGGAGCAGCAGATTGCTGTGCAAGGCCAATGTTAAAAAGGCAGCTGAATTTAACACCATCTGGAAGAAAAGATCCCTTCACGACTTTCTCACACCGTCAGACAAAACTAGTGTCTCTTGTTCCGAGCCCTTGTCTATGCAACCATACAATACTGAGTCATTATACTTTTGCTGAGAGAAAATTTGAGAACACAATATGGGTAACCAGTGAATGACCAAGTTTCATTGTGCCCGCTTAAGTCGATTGAAATCTACGTCTAGAGCTATGAATGGTAGTATTGTTTTCCTCACCAGGGCTGTACTAAATGTCAGCACAGTGTAAAGAAAAACTTGAAGTCTGCAAATAACTTACCAGATCTCAATTATAATATTTTCCCACACTAGAACTAATATCATTGCGAGGGGCTACATTGCAGAAAATACCAAAAGAAAGGAAAAGAAATAAGAGAGTTCATTAAGAAGTTATTTTATCTAGACAAACATTTTAATTTTCTGATGGGACCTTCAATTCAGGCTGCAGGCTGAGTTGAAGAGTGGAATTCATTACTTGGAAGTTCAGGTTACAAAAATGCTAAACAAATATCTATTTCTACCTTTAAACATTCTTATTAGATATCAACAGACCCCACTTGGGTTTTACTGCTAGTTCTGTTTAGAATTGTTAGTGTAAATCTAGCTTTAATTTTGCTTTAAATTTTGGCACACTGCTCTTTCAAAGTTTGCCACTGTGATTGACATTGTAAAGGAACACCATAGACATACATTTCCAAAAATTTACAAGATGGTTCTGGCACCTCCCAAGGTAGATTCTAGTGCCCTTAGAAATATGCTTCCCCTTTATGTTAAACCCCTCCCTCCATCTTGTGTGTATGTGCGTGTGTGTGTGTGTGTGTGTGTGTGTAAATCAGTTATCCTTAGGGTTAATGTTCACACAATCTATTTGACTGTAAACAGTCAGAAAAAGGAAACAAAGCAGTTCAGAAAGAGTAAAAGGAGTTGATTGTGTATGTTTTATTAGGATGTCTATTTTAAATATAATTGACTTTGCAATTTTGTTATTGTGTCACTAAGTGTCGCATAGTTCTTAACATGTAAGTGCAAAACAATGAGTAATTGCTGTTTTGCTGAATAATACATCTAAGTTGCCAACGTCAAAGGTATTATTTTGTGTATTTCTAAACAAGAACTTTAACTGCAGGTTTTGACATCTAGAATCTTTTCATGAGATTCTTAGAAATAGGCTGATAAAATGATGCCTTTAAAACTAAATATAAAGATATAACCAACTTATTTTTCTTGTCCTACTAGAAAATTAACAATGAAAAGTCACTCAACACTTGAATTGGAAATAACATAAACACAGTCATACAAAAAATTCAAAAGAACAACAAATGGAAATTGGATAGAGATTTTAAAAAAAGAAATAGGAAAACTTCTGTAATATCTTTGCAAAATGTGAATGGCTATCTTAACCAATACCTCTCCCCTACTGAAGTTTCCATTATTATGCACAGTAATGAGAGAAATGTATTTTTTACATTCAAAATGAACTATTTCCCCAAAGTTGCTTTTCTTTATTCTTAAGCACTAAATTTTCTATTACTAGTACTCTGTGTTTATTTTAAAAAGTAAAAGTTTCTCTCATTTGGAAATATATGAAATTCTATTTGATTTTGTGTCACTTGATGAAATTAAGAAATGTTTATAAATAATAAGACATTAGGAAGAGTCCATTTGAAATTCAGAAACATTATCCTATTCATAGGCTACATGTAAACACTTAGGATATTTTAGCATTTTAAGAATTTTGACTTTTTGAAATGGAGACATGATGCCAAAGATTTTATTTTCCAGTGTGTCTAGAAAATGAGAGTGTGTTAACTATTATCTAGGTCCCCCCGCCTCCTATGAAGCTATACACTTCTGGGGATATCTTTGTGGCATAAGAATATTGATAACCTTTTCCAAATTTGCCTTTTTGTGACTTATCTTTCCCTAATTTGCTAACACCATATATTGCATTGGGATGGGTGCGTGTTGTTGGTGGTGAGATGGGCGACACCGGGCAAGGTGTTCCTTAAGAACAAGAACTAATTTAGAACCAAAGTTATTGATTAAAAGGTATTTGTAATACGTGGGCCAATTGTTTCAACGTTAGTACTTGAGATATTTAAACAGGTTCTACAGCAATGGGGGCATGTAAGGCAGTTCTTCAGTGTCTCTGGATTTTAATGGATGGCTTTGTTATCCTGTTTCCTGTTTCTCAGTTTCTTAGCACAAGTTAAACAAGCTAATACAGAAATCAGTAGACAATTCCATTCCTATTTGATAACCCATTTCACTCCTCCTGGGAATCATTCAACTTTATTGTGGAATTAATTCTAAGATGATAAACGAAAATGAAAAGTATATAGTTATGAGTGCTTCTAAGGAATATCTGCCTTCCCTCAATCAGGGCCCAGGGAGTTAGTGCACTCCCTTAGAAAGGTGATGACCATCTTTGAGGTAGAAGCATGTGGCTTTCCGCTTTGCAACCAACTGACAGACCACAGGAGGTAGAGCTTTAAAAGTGCAGATAATCGACTTTATTCATGGAAATATGGAGTTCTGAGCCATGTTTGTTCAAAGAGAAGCACATCACTGTGCTTGGTGTTTGACTCGGTTTTAGCTTAGCGCTGGCACATCGCATTCTAGGGATCTAAAAATAGCCAAGCTTAGCAGTCGCCTCTCAAGGTGCTTGGCGTGGGCGGTGTAGAGAGGAGACAGCCAATTCTGTGAGTGGCAGCAGGAGCAGCTAGGCTAGGCAGAGGCAGCGGCGAAGGCTGCCGGTGCGCCGCTGGGCAGCACGACGCCTCCGGGTGACCGCCAACAGCCCAAGTCTTCTAGCAGCTGGGGCTGCTCGCGACTCGCGCAGGAAAGTCGGCGTCTGATTGGTGTTTCCCGGGAGACGAACTGCCCGAGCTGCCGGAGCTGGTGCGCCGGCGCGCGCGCTCCCGGAGCTGGAGCGCGGCTGGGAGGCTGGGGACGCGCTGCGGCCGGGCGGCGGGTTGGGAGGCTTCTCAAGTTCGCGCGAGCTTAAGTTCCCGCGCCGGTTGCCCGCGGCTGGGAGGGTGCTGGACTCCAGCGCCGCGCTACAGGACGCGGCCTAATCGGACTGTCAGCCCCTCCTTTGCCAGGCACGCTCGGTTGCGTCTGCGAAGGCTGTTCTGTATTTTTTAAAAATTCCATTTATTTATTTATTTATTTATTTATTTATTTACCTTCCTACCTACCTACCTACCTATCTACCTACCTGTTCCTGGGCCCCTCACCATAGACCTCGTCCCTGCTTCCGAGCCAGCTTGGGTCTGCCTTTGCTTGGGAATCCCAGAGTCGGGTTCCTGAATGGGGTGGCTTCCCGGTTTAGTCACCACTGGACGTCGGGTACTAGCAGGCATCTCCCCGCGGCCATACCCTGCCACAGGGCCCCTTCCTCAGCCTGGCAGGCAACTGTGGTTAAGAGGCTTTCCTCTGAGTTTCTCTAGTTCTGCCCAGTCGCGTTTTCCCTGTGTATGATTAGTATCGTTGATAAAGATGGTGCCCCTCTCTCTCCACTTGCACATTTTTTTTTAACCTAGTTGAACGCTGCTAACCGGAAGAATCCTCCCCCTCACCACCACCACCCCCCCCCACCAGGGGAGGCTTTTGATTGGGGGTGTTGTGGAGGGTGCTGGGAGCTGGGTTGTAGCGCTCACCGTTCTGGGCCCTTCCAGGAGCAACCTCTACCTCTTCCCCTGTTGCCCATTAAAGAGCGCAGGGCTCATCTTCCTCCCATCAGATTTGCTGGAAATATTAATCTCCTTGTTGGGTGGATACAGTAGAACTTGTTCAGAGATTACTTTAAAAAGAGAGCTGGGTCTTAAGCACTTACTAAAGCCAGTTAATAACATCATGCATGGACATTTAAACTTGTTGTAAGTTGCAGAGAGGATTAGCGGGAAGTCACGCTGTGCGCAGCTAATGATACCATCTTAACTCTAACCGGGCTAAATCCACCTCGCCTGGCTCAGGTCCGGCTCTTCAGCCCTGGGATGAGGCTAGGAGAGAGGAGGGTCTCTTGGAAGAGGGGAAGGAAGGCAGAAATAGAAGGAACTACCCTGCTCCTAGCTTTAGGTGATGGTCAATCATCCTGGGAGGCCACCAGCGGTGTTGCTGCTGGGTAGGCACGAGCACAGGACTAGGGCCCAGGCATCCTGGTGTGCACCGTAATCCTTGGGCTGTACTTTAGTGACACTGAAGGGTACGGGCCCACATGTCAAAACAATTTGATTTTATAAGCCAAAGGGCGCATAAGGGTCTGTTGGAAGCTCTGGTAAGGTTTGGGGATTGCAAAAGTGATGATGACTTTCTTGATGCTGGTCTATTTGCATCTTAAAGACCGCTTACTTCCAAGTCTGCTTTTAAAAAAAGTAGTCCAGCTCAGTATTTCACAGATAAATTTCACAGCATATTATTAACAACTTCCTGTCATAGGCTTGCTCAACTGGTTTCAAACTGATTACTGTTTTAAGGCAGTTTGCGACTACTATATGACAGAGCCAATTAGAAATAATCCTGGGAAAATGCTTCGAAAATGCTGCGTTATTAAAACACTTACCTAGTAATATTCATCTAGTTCTTTCACTAAGTAGCTATCTGACGGATTTCTTGTGTTTTCTGAGCTTATTTTAATAGTCACTTGCCCTGGGAAAACAAGGTATCAGGAAAATTTTTAACTGCAATCTGGCTTTTGGCATTATTTTTTAGTTTTAAATTCAAACTTGACAAGTTAAAACGTTTATGTATTATATTTTTAACAGCTAGTGTGAGGTTGGAAGTAACTATAGATGCTGATTAATCTAATAATTGATAAATACCTATAAGTAGATGGTAAAAAAAAAACCCACAAGAAAAAGATTGTGTATGAAACCAAAAAACCAACCAATAAAAAAGCCAACAATAAATATTCTGCTAATTAGGTCACAAAAAGTAATTTACAGAGTATTACCCAATGTTTCTTCAATCGTCTTTTAGGGGGAAACAATCTTTCTATACACACGTGCACACATACACACAGATTGATTATGAGTGAAATTTACTGGAATGGAAGAATTTCAAACATGTATGATTAAGAAATATTTTCACAGAATAAATATCTCAAACATTTAATTTTTGTATTTATCAACACTGATCTAATGAAAACACTTCCTATAATTTATTTGGAGATAATACCTTCATAAAGATAATAATAGATTTAATATCATTGAAATTCAAAATCCATGGAATTGCTTCCTGTCAAGGCTGGATCTCTTGTATAGTAATAATAGGAGTGTACTTAGTCCTTAATTTTAATTCAGTGAGTATTATGAAGGTACCTGAAACTCTTGAATGAATATAACAGCCTTTGAGAGGAATTCAAATAATAGATATTAGTCCTTATTTTAAAAAAGCACACAGTTTGTATACAGTAGCTGCTCAGTATATATTATTTTAATTTATTAAATTATCCTTGAAATACACAATGTATGTGCAAAGTTAAATTAGTATTGGCTGACATTAGGGATCTGAAGTTGAGAATGTTGAATTGTCTGTGGGATAGCTTAAAAACTGCTTAGAAGCTTTGAATTTGAAGTTATCACCATGACTAATCACAGCAAGTGGGTTTGACAAGAATGGAAGAAAATAATGTTATAGGTCTTCATTTTTAGGATTTGTAGTATATGTCTCTTGAGTGGTTCTAATAGTGAAAATACTTAGACCACAAGGAAATAGGAATTAAGTAATGAATTTACATTTGAATTGCTTTATATATTGACTCATCACAATTTATAGGTACTTAGATTAATATAAATAATAAAAAGTTCAGCTGTTCCTAAATAAAGTTAGAAATTGCTGAGTAGCTTAGTTTTTCACACTGAAGACTCATGCTCAATTATAGTCTGAAATCTCAGTTTGCAGATATGACATAGGATAATAGTGATTCAAACAGCAAAGTACAAATACTGCATATATTTCTGCCAAATTTGTCTCAGATGGACTAGCTGCTAAGGAAGAATCCATAGCATGACTGAGCTAACAAAAAGTGTGTTACCTCTCCAATAGGTAATCCCTCCATTTGCATGCTGTGCTCACTGACAGGAGAAAGGACTTAAATGTCTGTCATTTTTCTGGACTTTAGCCTTAAGGTCTATATTGTCACTTCAAAATACATGAAGTGAACAATATTTTTGTTAGCCAGTAATTGTTATTAAGACAAAATTGTTTTCTTAGCCTTTGGAGACAAAACTTTGGTGCTCTTTATTAAAAGTTAAACTTAACTAGGCTTATTACATTAGAAATTGTCTAATTCAATTTTGATTCTTCAAATTGCATTTTATACTAAAGGAGAGCTTCTGCATAAAATGCAGTTGAAAAGAGAAAAATATTTATGCTTTTATCATTTAAGTGATCAAATACTGCAGTGCTAGACATTAGAATATCGTATGCATCACTACATTATTAACTTAATCTAATGCTCAGAGTCATTACCACATTCATGGGTGTCTTTCTGATATCTCTCCAGTCCACTGGATTTTGA